GCAGTTATTAAAGTACATTCCACTGCCTATCCTAACTCCCCATCCCCAAAACCCCTATAATCACATTTCCCGTAGGACAGAGTGCTGGGACTAGGGGCATATGAGGTGTACTTCTTAAACTACTGTTGCCTGGGTTTAATAACAAAGTGTACGTAAATGCGTTTATATCCCTATGTGTATTACAGAAGACCTCGTAAAAATGAATCAACATCTCGACTGCGATGCCATGGGCGAACGTTCAGAACGGACTAGAAAGTTTCACGATGAAGATCTACTAAATCCATCATAAACAATACAAATAACTGAATGTAGTAAACAATTTGACTGATGTATCATAAGAAAATGTTTGCTGTTACGTTCAGACCACATATAGCTGCAGGGCATTTTTTCGATTGTCCACCGGATAATAGTAAAAGTTACTTTTCCAGATGCGCCTAAGCCGTACGTCCATACGTTCACCAACCTGGCTCTTGACAAATCCCATGCCGAAGGAAGCTTCCTGCAACTATCTACCTTGAAGAGCTTTAGAACCTCAAACATGATCTAGCGCCAAAAATGTCGGGTAAAGCCAAATTATTCAGGTGCATGCACACACAATTTTGCTGTCTTTACCTTAATAGAAAAAGCTGGGAATCGACTAAACTGATAGAGTCCGTTTTAGAAAGTCAAAATAAGGTTAAGCTGAAAGTTCAAATAACTTTTGGAAACTGAAGAACTATTTTTATTGTCCAACGCCCAGGCAATTCAAAGGGGTCGCACTCAGTGCATGCCTGAGTTAACAGTTAACACGTAAATTCAACGTACGAAACATGCCGGTACTGATTATCCACGAAGGGTCGGCAGAACCCGAGGTCGACAAATGGCGGCTCGCAACTTATACAGTGCGTGGCTCTATGTCGTGCGAGCTATTCGGAAATTAAAAGACAACGATATTTCCGTGAACAAGCAGTAGGTTCCCATTGAGCCGCATCACATGATTCCAATAAGGTTTTGGGTTCTGCCGAAGATTCGCGAACTTTTTCTCCCTATTCGGCTGATTTCAGACATATGCAAATGACCTTATGAAATTTCAAATTGGCTGGCCGAAATATTGAAGCAGTTTCACTATTATGTCCCGGCAAAAAGTTCAGGGGAAGCTTTTCATCCCATGACTTCAATTAAAAATTCAAATTTCATTGCGAAGATACCCTCATTCCTTAATCTGTAGTCTGGGTTCACCGGGATTTGGCTTATGCACGTAATGGAATAGATCTATAAATAGGTTGTTGTTAAGGGGATTACCAGTTGGCATAAGGGGGTTGAAACCATATATAAACGGCTGCCTTGCCGCTCACCGAATGTTTAACTCAGCTTATATCATTATTTATGCAATAATGCGTGGATCCATACAAGCGAACGTCCTAATGCGAAAACTTGCAGTGAATCGAATTTCGTCAATAATAGTTTAGTAGGCCAGATGTGCTGATAATATTCTTATAATAGTTGATGATGGTACATAAAGTTTACTAGCATTCGAGTTTACTTTAGGAAGGAGAGGGAATATCGTCTTCTTTGTCTGGAGGTTTCAATAAGTTGAGCTAATGTCGGAATAGATCGTGAAAGTGCAGTCCGCAGGAAATGTCATAGTGTATAAAGTACTTCCCCTTTGTTTCTTTCAGTAGGAAACTATGTTCACTTTGTTACATGGTGCAATCTTATGACAGAATATGATTTGCAAATGGCTGTGAGGATTAACATGGATTCATACAAATCACCCTGTAAAAGAATTGCCTACGCAAAGTGTTGGTAAAAGGGTCTAGGAAAGAACGTTTGCAGAGATTTATACACATGTGCTGATAGCCAAAATGATCGAACTTCCTTAAACCTCCGGTTTTAAGAAAATCAAGAAGTAAACTCTCACGTCGCGCCGTTTAAATTCTGCTTAGCCGGATATGAACTCAGTGGTAAAGGGAAAATGCATTTTCATGGATTGAGATGAATGTCTGCATCCCACGTTTAGGTACAAGTAAAAAAGAAGGAGGTCATCATCTGTTTAGTCACCCGAGCTTAGTGGACTCTGATTGGAGTCAATCATCAGAGATAAAAGTGGCAAAATGACAAGCAACAGTTTTGGGTCGGAACCTATTTAACACCAATAATGCTAGTGTGGATGTGACCGTGTCGAGCTCTGGTGTGTCGGAGCCAGTTCGATACAGCGATTTACTGCATTCTCATCAGGAACATATGCTTCAAAACACTGGTGGCTTTCCTTGCCTCTGTTATGGGCAAAATGATGAAGGACTGCAGTAGGAGTTCGAAAACTCAGCTGAAGAAAAGCATGAGTACGACGAGCGAACAACATCCTTCTACTTTACTTAAAATAAATGTTTCCAAACACATTCTACCGTTTCGGAAGTACGAATGGGCTGCTTTGTGAAACACCTTAAATTTTCATCAATCCTTTTACTTGTTTTCGTGGAGCAGAATACACTGATAGAAGGAATAGATGTTTATGGATTTTCAACGCTAACTTCGCATATCTGTACACCTATTTTAAAGTTCCACCTCGGGACATTCTTGCAATGAGAGAGACAGTTTTCCTACGGTTGACAACTTTACGTTGACAGAAGACGTTCAGTCGAACCTCTTAGCTTACATAGCCCCAAGTGAACCAAACCTATTCCTCTGACGATAGCCACTCCATCCCACATGCACCCTTCGTTAGCCTCTTATTCTCCTCCCTCGATTGACTCGTCTGTTCCCTGCACAACCCTTTGCCCTAATGCCCTTATTTAGTGTTTATTTTGCTATCTAAGCTGATCTATATTGAAGTATATTATTCTGCAAGTTAAAAAGCTATTGAACAATATGCTATACATGCCTGATCTGGTTTTTGGTTATTTTTCGTCGTCTTTAACGTTGTTTTCGAGTTCTTCGGTGCTCCGAGTATTTTCTCGTGAATAGGGTAGTTTAAACTCTCAAAAGGTACACATCAGGCTCGTTTTGAGATAAACAGATATTCTTCAATAGCCATTTTAGAGACTCGAGGAAAAGGTCTCAAGATTAAAGATATGAAATATATACTTTGAAAAGACAGACTGTTGATCAAAACGATGTTTACGCTTATTGATAGTTTTTGCGGAGCAGGAAAACTATATAAAACAGTATTTGAGATGTAACGTTTCCGCTAACATTATACAAATATTATGCATCTCAGATGTACGTGGAAGGGCCAGGTGCTTTTTAATCAAGTTAAATTTCTCAGCTGCCTGGTATACGCTTGTGGCCAATTCCATCTTCTGCTAGTCGCTACTGAAGGTATGACCTAAGGTAACCGCATATAGGAAAATTAGTGAATGCTGTCCTAACTGCACTTGGTCACCTTTAAAATGTAAGTCAGTACGCACGTAGCTTAATGGTATAAAGTTTGCGTTTTCCTCTAAACTTCCACTCATGTTCATTAGAATGTGTCTTCATGTTCCCTATAACAAAACATTCTATACATCCATTAATTAACCAGTTTTCGTTAAATTAGAAAGTGCACTTCTTTTTATTTGAGTATCCACAGCCGGTACACCTAATTCTGTAGTTTATCTTAGATGTATTGGACGACTATACTGTCCGATCTGATTTACGTCAATCTACTTGATGGAAGGACATTCCCACTTGATTAATTTCCCCAAATTAACCAAACAGCTAATTGTTTAGGAACTGTGGTCTAAGCTGTTTCTGTGGTTTTTAGTTGGGCCAGTCTGCCGACCCATAACCCAGGATGCCGATAATCCTGCGAATTTTGTTATTTTCTGCACACGATCAGTGCATCTCTGTAATCGAAACAGCATATGAGCTGTGTCTGCATTTCACACTAAATCAATATATGGACAACATTATGGGCAATATTCACGACCGCTGAGGAGAAGTAGACCATGGCTTGATGTAAATTCTCAAGAAACGTGTCCACAGATTAGGTTGTTAATGCCGATCTTAACTTGTTAAATGGGGGGTGGTGCATTATAGAAATACCCTTAACCCAGTTAGGGAAAACTCTGATGATATTTGAACCCACGACAGTAAACGGGAGGTTTAAGTACAGCAGACGATGAAGTCACCTACGATAGGAGGCCACAAGGATAACCGTGATTTTAATCACCTTTGGGTGGGGTTAGAGCTTTCGCTGTTTTTAGCTTTACCCCAGCTGTTGTAGATTCAAAGCCCAGAAATTTTGCCAAGTGGGTCATATGATGTGCCTTGTTTTTTCTGTGGTTTTCTTAACTCGCTGTATTCACGATCATCAAACACCCTTCTATACATAACAGTGTCAATGGTTTGTCCTGGTTGCCTGATAAGCAAATACAACTTAACATTCACATAATTCCAAAGCGAAATTATTTTCAAAGCAGCTTTAGGAACCTTCGAGCAATTGCTTGCAGCATTATGCAACTCTGAGATACCTACGGCCTATCGTTAAAATTTAGGCAAACCAAGAAAACCAAAGTGATATTTGTGCCCATAAGATTTGCGATCCCAAATGTAAATTACTATAGTAACTCAATTTTTTCTCGTGTTTCACCTGATTTAAACGTGCGTCATTTGATCGAGTTTAGGTACTTTCATTCCTCTATGCAACGAGAAGAATGTTCAAGGCTTCACATTAAAGGTACACTTTGACCGTGGCGAAATTTAAAGACGAATATGAGTAAACTGACTCGGTATTGGCTTCATGTACTCATACTGAAAATTACATTTTGGTTAGATTAACGATTCCAAGCTGAAAGTAGTTTGCCTAAAGGGTTTTGACGTAAAGTCGGAAAATCTTACTTCTTGGTCTGTGGTTATAGATATTATATTATTATATATTATAATATTATATATGTTATTTTTAAATCATGCTTGGGAATTACTATTAGCCTGTATTCTTCGACACATTTTTCCACTTCATGAAGCCGCCGATTATGAGACTCAAAGGCATTTAGTTTGTCATGTGCGACTGTTGAGTGGCATTTCTACGTGATGGATAGTACTTACGATGCTTCATAAATTACCTGAAAATATACCCACCATGTGCAGAATGTCAAATCGTATGCCAAATTAAAACGAGGGTACTTTTGCCTTCCGATTCTGTAGAACAACTCGTAGTTTAGACTTTTTGTTCCACTCACCCGTGCATTGTACATTTCATCCATGTCCGTGCGTAATTTTTCCAGCTGAATGTCGTAGCGATCCTGGATGTCGCGAATGGCTTGGCTCATCTCACTCTGCCAGACCTCGCGATCCACACCGCGGCCCACCTCTTCCAGTGAGCGATGCAGCTCGCCTAGTTCTTGCTGATGAACCCGTCGAAGAAATTCGATTTCCTCCTTGAGGGTCTGCATTTCAGACTGGCCCGACATACGATTCGCTGTTTCGTCATTTAATTGCTAAAATGGAAACATTAGGTTGTTCACATTTGCGAAGCCGAGAGTTCGGGGATGGAAATCTAAGTATTAAATGTTGCTTTGCCAGAAGTGCTCAAAGAATCTATACCGCTTATGCCATCAACTCCTTTCCTGACACTCCTACATATGGTTTGGCAAAGTGGATGTCTGGTCACCTTAAGTTCTTGGTAGTAGGCTCATAAACAAACGTAGCTTCTGTCAAGCAGTTCCTTGGACGGATAAAACACCTCAGTTTACGGTCAAATGAATCTATTTTATCGTTTGATGTGGTAACATTCTTCCATTCCATCTCATAGCACTTAGCGATTGACGTTGTAAGACAACTTTCGACCAAACACTTTGAAAAACGGAACAGGTCACTGAAGTTCGAACATTTGCTTGAACTACAACGAGCTTGCCTTAAATGTTACTCCACATTTGGTAGACAATGAAATGAATGAATGAAAGGCACTCCAATGGACTTCCCCCTGTCAGGTCTGATTGCTGGGGTGGTCTTCCAACTGATACAACAATTGGTCCTCACCGAGCAGGGTGATGCAGGCACGGTGACCTTCACTGGATTATAACGAAAGTAGACTTGCGTAACATCTACCTCATTCTCTCTTCCCTCATCCACCTGTGTACGGTGTCAAGACAGAGTCAAAAAGACTGGAAGCAGGAT